TCAGCCTTGCTCGCGCGATCAACAGGCCAGAACCGTGGGATGATGGACAAGTCATCGACCTGCTCCCCTTTCGGAATGAAGTCTCTCACAATCAACTCCCCTGCTCCACTTGCCGCCAAGAGGGGCGTACGATGCTTCTGCTGCACTTTCAGAAGGCATTGGTGAACAACGTCATGCTTGTCGTTTGCATGCTCTTGGATGATCCTGTAGCCATAGATAGCTGCATGATTCCAAATCGGATCAGAACATACATCCTTAAGCAGCGTCTTGAACTTGCCCAACGGATTGTCATAGAACGCTTGGAAGACATCTTTCGTAGTCAATCTGGCATCACATTCCAAAACAATTTCACAGACAGCAGCCAACGTGAGTGTGATTGAGGGAGTTGGCAATGAAAAATTGACTTCCGGCGTGACGACCACAAGGTGCACTTGCCGTTTGTATTCCTGGTTTAAAGCAGGATCAAAGACAATCACCTCATACGGCCCCGAGATGTTGGGCATCTTGGAGAGAGGATCAGTTGGGTCAACAATTGGCAGCAACAAAGCACATGGCTCTTTGGGGACAATCTCCATGGCCTGCTTCAGGTTGCCCTTGGACACAAAGGCAATACCGCCTCGATTGGTCGAGAGTTGTTGCTTCTGCACGAAAGGAAGCACCGTTTTATCTTTAGACACGAAGGGATGGTCAGTCTGCAACTGAAGATCCTCCCATTTGCTCTGCTTCACTGCCTTCTTTTTGGTCTTCCACGGGTCATCAAATTGCCAAGGATCTGCTGTCTGCATTGGTGCGTCAGAAGAAGCTTGTCCCTCCATGCCCCCTAAGGACACTGCAGAGCAGGGTTGCAAAACTTGGCAACCACCCACCAGCAAGAAAGATCTCCGAACACTGGCTGCGAAATTGCGAAGCATCGGAGGTGCGCCAGCTTCTCTCCATGCCTGATCAGATTCCTCCAGAATCATCTCCAAAACCTGTCGTTTGTGCTGAGGAATATGGAAGTCCGGTGGGAGCGCCAAATCGACCACCACCCATCTGTGCAACAGTTCCCATCCACACATGCCAGGCCTCGTGCGAGTGGTATCAACAATAATGATTGGTCGAAAACCAATCGGAACAATATAGTCAGCAGCAAAGTTGGTCCAAAATTGTTGATCCCGCGCAGGAGCTTGCAGAAAGACAACTCGACACGTGTGCTCAATGGCATTGCAAATGACCTCAATACCAACCCAGTGTCCTTCACGAAGGGCCGCAAAACGTTGGACTTGATCACTCAAGGGCTTAACACCAGGAGCGATAATGGACAGGTCATGGTGAAGCACCGGCGGACAGAAAGAGTCCGGCAGAAAGAAGGTCAGCAGGAACTCCATCTCGTCACTAGTGGCCCAACCTGGATGCGTGCGGTAGATATTGGCTCTCATGTCCAACCACTCGTCAGCAACAAAGAAGATTTCATTGATGTTGTAGACTTGTGGCGGCCTTCCGGTAGATCTGAGAACCAGGTCAGCCGCTCTATTCGGAGATTCCATAATGGCAACCAAGAAGGCATTCCGACTGGCACGTGCAAATTGTAACATGCGATCATCAGTACGAACATCCCTCCAGATGAAGTCAGCCTGATCGATGATTTGCATAACATGTTCATTGTACTGGGCCCGCTGCAGTCTCTGAGTTGTACGGTGCGAAGCTGGGAGCAATGGAGCACCAGCTCTAGCATAGAAAGTCCGAAGAGTGTGCCAAGCCGCCAACTCAGAGTCTTCAGTTGTTCGAATCCACCTAAAGGCATTGGGCTGAACTGGGATCCGCATGTTGTTTAAGTTCCAACACTGCAGTTCTTTGCCTCAAAGTCAGTTGCTCTGGTGAGTGATACAGCACCCTCCACTGTCCCTCAAGGAATCGAACCTCAACGAAGATCCAATCAAACACCACGAGGATGGGCACAACAAAGTGCTGGAAACACCGTTGCAAATCAGCTGGTTCCACCGGGAATCTAAACTGAGCTTCACTGGAAACCCATGTAGCAGGTGCGCACCAGCAGACTGAAGGCATCAATATCTGCAACACGTCAAAGTGAAAAAGCACCTCATCCATTGCCAGCGACCCAGGTTCCAGGTTGAACTGCAATAATCTAGCAGCGATCTGGTCATTCTGCACATTGCAACTAGGATCATTGTAGAGATGGTCCATACCGCCGAAGGCAACAGGAGCAGCCTGACAAGGTCGGGCGTCACACCACAAGATGTCCCCATTGATAAGCATCAAAGGCTGCTCAGCTGGGCAGGCAACCGAATTGCGCATCATGATGCCACATGACTGGGCTAGCAAAGTGGAACATTGCTGAGGCGTGGCATTGCGAGGCAGCTGACAAATCTTCACCCATTTTGTATCTTGTCCCCCAGCCAGCAACACCCATTTGGAGTCATTCACCGGTTGATAGGATCCTTGAATCACCATCACAATCGGCACTCCCAACAAAGAGCGACAGGCCTCCTGGTTAGCCTTGATGAAGTGCATGGCCAAACCTTGTACTTGAAATGCCGGAATGCTTCCCAAACGATCGACATTAGCCTGCTGGATCCAATGGTAAGTGCCATCTTGTTGAAGCAAAAGCACTTGTGTAGAAACCCTCGGGTTGTCATCCTGGCACAGATATTCTGCCGCGTGGAAAAACCCTTTCCGGTGTGCCTCAAGCAAAAAATCAAAGGCAGGGTCAGCTTCGTTTTCATACCACGGTTGCGTGGGCGAGACAATAGGATCATCAATCGCACTTGCCTCACACACCTTGGCCACATGCAGAGTAGCAACCTCAAAACTGCCACATTTCAACGTGATGTGCCCACTTGGAATTTGTGCCCAGAGAATATCATGATGGAGAGCTTCGCCAGCGACAACAAGACTGAGCAAAAATTCATGATGATTGGCGAGATCAAGACTTTGTAGCAAATCGTCATAGACACGGCCATCAACCTGTTTGTTGATGGGAATCAATGTGCAATCATCACAGAATCTGATGAGTGAAGCCCCTGCTAGCCACGGTCGCCAGGTCAAGACACTCGGAATCAACTTGGCCACCAAGTCCGCAATAGGTTGCAGAACAAGCATCCCATCAAATTCCCTCACAACAGCATTGTCAGATGTCAGACGATCCTCCCAACACTGTTGAACCAAGGGCATCTTCTGCAGGGCCTCACCAGAAATTCCTTCCATAGCAAAGAGGATCGCCACCAAAGCATGCAATTGCGATATTGCATTTCCCAGCTGATGAAAAGCTTTACGTACGTCGCTAGGCAAAACCAGGGTCGTAGTGGTGCCAAACAACGAAGCAAACACAAATGGATCAATGAAGCGGAACTCTTCTTGCAGAAAGACCAGAGATGCAAAAATACCCTTGCCTTGAACATGTTCGGCGTTAAGAAGATGCTGTGCCGTATACGAAGCACAAAGCGTAGGCAGGTATTCCCCAGCATGGAGAACTCTTTGCATCAACACTTGGTGAACTGTCGCACCTTCAACTACCCTGGTCTTCTTCGCAGGGGGCAGCAAATTCTTGTCACCATAGATCGTCAATTGCTCTGAGCTGAGCCGAAGATGATCAATCAGCGAAATCGGCAAAGCAAACATATGCTTCGGGTCATTCCATGTCAACCTCCGAGGGATAGAACATAGAATACGCTCACTCGACTTGTGCCCTCCAACGTCCTTCCGGCGCCACACTGACAACCAGCGAGTCCTGTGATTGCTGGTAATCTGGTGCATGGCGACATCTTGTGACCAGATTTTTGTGTATCCAGCCAACTGCATGGCTGCAGATAATGCTCGCCAGTGAGGATGTGCTTCTAGGCCATCCGAGCACTCAAAGAGAGCGAGTATCGGTCTCACCTTTCCAACGTGATCGATGGCATCAAGAAAGCAGAACCCTTCATCCGAAGCAAGGCCTGAATGCTTGCCTCCTCGGCTCCAGCTTGGGCAAGGCGGTGATAAGGTCATGATCAAATTTGTTTTGTGAGACGTAGCTCGAACCAACGTCTCATCATTGATGTCAGCTTGAATGCCAACATACACATCCGCAGGATTATAGTCAACAGCAATTGGACAGCAAAGGAAGTCCTTACGATGGTTTGCACTCCAAGTCTGCATGACATCATGATTCCAGTCGACAGACGTGTGGGAGGAGAAGACCAACCCAATCCGAGCATTCTGAAGCCACCACATTGCCCTGAGCCATCCTTCGTATGCGCCCGAGAAAAGGTGAGAGGCCTGCCAAGCAAAGGCTTCATTGTAGCTGGAAATATTCCAGATCAGCACCTTGTCGTCAGCCATGATGCATTCATTGTCAAGCCGGTTGCCAGGTTTGGCCACAAGACCAATCCACATCCCGGGCGTAAAGTCCACTCTGCAATGCTTCACCGTACACACCAGATCAAAGGTAGACCAACTCACCTTCGTGGCATCCAAATCCTTCATCAGCATTGAGGTGCGCTGGATACGAACCCGGGTCGGAGGACCCAACTGCATGTCCAGAACTTCTCCAAATAAAACCCACTCTTCATGAACTTGACGGCACTCACCCAACGTGGCAATGCCTCGCAGAGCTGCAGTGACCGTCTCAGCAAGGGTCACCGGCATGCCAACAACGGCCCAATCAATGAGGCTCTCAACTGCAACTTGCCCAAATTTATGTTCATCTTCCATCGTGACCATGGCGATCCTGCCAGGAGTGCCTGGCAGGTCTGTGGACGCACCACGCCAACACTGTGGTTGGTCGCAGTGCCCCGGCCCTCGCGGAAAGGCATAAGGTGAATAGCTTTGGGCCGAGACACCTGGGGGAGCTTCCTTAAAGGTACCAGCTACCTAGTTTCTAATAGCTACCGACTCCCTAGCTAGTTCCTACCTCCTAGCGGCCAAAAATAAGTATGAATATATATATATATATATATACTACATATATATATATATATATATACACATTCCTCTTTCAGCCTTCCATCTGATCGTCTCCCCGCCTTGGCCTCCTTGGCCTTGCTGGCCGCGTGGCTTTTCGCCTCGGTGGCCTTGTTCGCGGCTTTGCTGCCCAGGTCCTTGGCAATGGCACTGGCCGCCTGCGTCAGATCTCGGACTCCCAAAACTTCGCGTGGGTTGACCGTCAGAGGCCTAAAGTCTGGAGGCTTTCAAGCTTTGCTTCAACATGGAACCGTGCTTTGAAGCACCTGTTGAATTCATCCAAAACTGCCCCGGCCTTGCCACGTTCTGCAAAGACCTCCCGTGCCTGGCTGGCCCTGTCCGCTGCAGCACCCAGGCCCTTGGCGACCTCAAATGGCCCAGCGACCTCTCAAACCTCTTCCGCAATGGCTTAAGGTTCAAAAGGGCCAAACCAATAAGTTAAGAAGCGTTGAGTGTCGAAGCATTGAATCCCATGCTACCGAAGGAAAACGTCAAATCTCTATTCATCCTCCTCCAATGCTCAATCCGCTCAGTCACAAGCCCCGCTCTGAAAGTCCTGTACTTGCCTCAAAGAGAAGAGTGCAGTGCCAATGGCTCAAGGCCCTTCATGTGCCATTTGCTGCTGCTCTACTTTTGGAGAGTAAAGCAGTCAAGTTTTCTGAAGCCATGGATGCCACAGATGCACAAAGGAAGAGAAACAAGTTAGCTCACCTCTCAAAAAGTAATCCCAAAAACTGTTGCATATTTGCGGATTGTTGGCTCACATGCTTGCTTGCAATGGATCAGACTGATCAAACACATTCCAAAGCCTGTGCAAAACCAGAAAATCTGTCTGGCAAAGATTCCCTACAAGCCTTCGCAATTCAGCACGGTCCCACATATCACCCTGACCTATCTGGCACGATTCCACTACCAAACAGTTCTACTACCAAGTACTACAGTCTGTACCGTCCAAAGTTGAGCACGTTTTGCGAATCCATCCTCAATTCGAGAAAACCTAAGTCTGAAGGGAAGTGATAGGTGATGAACCCTGCTGTGTGCCCCCACTGGGCTAGGTCTGCGCTTTTGGCCTTTTCTGCTGCCTGCTAACAGGTCAAGTGAGCAAAGGAGATGAGCATGAAGCTGTGTTATGGTGTTTGCGTGCGCAACACATTGCGTTAGTCCAAGTTGATATGCACAGCATTGAATGTAGCTGCTTGTCACATCCCCAAGGACTGACGCCTTTTCGAGGTTCTGTTTCGCCTCTTCTGCTGCTGAGGCCACCTGGCTGGGATTCTAAACATGGAAGAGACCTTGGAAAATACTAGTAGCAAGGACATAGTGAATCCAGCTACACCAGAATTTATCAAAACACGGGTATCCTATGTATATCTCCGTAGACTAGGAAACAAAGCAGGATTTCCCACACTATCTGTGGGGATTCTTGGGGGTTCTTGAAGCTCACAATCTGTACAACTGTCTGGTGCAATCCTTCGCTGCTGGCAATCTAGGGCCCTAGCTGACTTGGATAAGCGGCTTGCAGCCTTGGAGAAGTTTGCCCAGGCACCCTGGGCAAGCAAGACTTGCACACAATGCCGACGCTGACAAAAGAAGAAACTGGCTGAATGCATACAAGTCTGGATTTCACCACTTGAAGTGGCAAAGGAGCTCTGAGACAAAGAAAACTACAGTAAACTGCAAGAACAGTTTAAGATCCTGCACTCGGCCTCACCCTTTTCTTCATCAGGAATGGCCTCCACGTAGGAGGGCATCACAATTTAACATGCATGCAACACCAAACACACTGGGTGTTCTTTGAACTAACCTGAAGAGAGTGGACATGGATATTGTCAAACACATTGAAATACCTTGTTCCAAGTACCATCCAACACGGCAGTTCTTGAGTACTGAGTACTGTAAATACTGGACAAGAGCTCATGCCTCCGGCGTCTCCTCCTTGGGAACTGGATCATATGTCACCTGGCACATGTTCCATGTGAAGGACATCTGTTTGAAATGAAAAGCTTACAACCCAGCCAACCCAACCCGCTCCCAGTGAAACACCAAGCATTGCAAGCGCTTGCGCCGCTTGCCCAAGCCGTGCGTTCATCGATCCCACGAATCACCTCATTGAACGCCTTGCGGGCCTTTTCCGCCCAGGAACTGAACCTTGGAAGACCCGACCCCCTCCCAAAACGAAGCAACATCAACGGCGACTCTGGATACTCTGCCAAATTGTGTCTCATATGTGCAAAGCGTTATCTGTGTTTGAATGTCTCTTGTAAAACATCTTCAAGAAGCATATGCACTTTGTGCTTGCAGGTCCAAGGCAGTCTGTTGACCGGGCAATAAAATTTGCCTCGATTTCTTAGGTGCAGAAATCCAGCTAGAAGAAGGGTAAACTGCGTCAAACACCAAATCCTGCAGAGTCTTCAATCCTTCTCAGACAAGTACCACTTCCTCCTAATTGACAAGCCTTCAGGAAAAGAAAACAAGGAAATGTGGAATGGCCTACTAGCGATGGCCTCCAACCTAATTGCGATGGCCTGAAACCTACTAGCGATGGCCTCCAACCTAGAAGCAACGGCCTGCAAGAATGCAGAAATGGAGGGGGAAAGAGACCATGTTGAAATCTGTTGAGGCCTATATGATTCCACCAATACACGTCTCGTTGTGCGTAGCTACAAAACAAACACAGCCCTTAAAACCTCAGCCGCTCAAGGTGTTGTCTTTCTTAAGCCTAGAATCCGGGAATGCCAATTGCCAATCTATTATTATATATATATATTGCAAGGGAGAAGAGAATCAAACTGTCAATTGTGTGTTGTATCATACAGGTTTTATCTCTGACTTCATTACTCACCTACAGGCGGCAGCGGCATCTCATCATCTGCTGAGGCCTTGACATGTTTGTTGATGGGCCTGATGTGTTTTGATGTGTTCGATCGCAACTGCCACTCTCATCTGCTTGAAACGCATGTTTGGGCAACCTACTCCAAGTACCATCACCAGAATCCACAAAAATACTCCAACGCGTGCACTCATGCCCAACAGCACAAAATGTCCGATGCCTGACTGTTCTTCTATCTCAGCTGGTGGTGCCTGCGGCATGCAGCTCTGGGTGGTGTTCGCACTGTCAATTCGGGTTTCGGGGCTACCAGTGACCCTTGTCACAGCAAAAGCCAATGTATGCAAACAAGCAAAACCTCATGGACTGGTTAAATTCAGAGCGGATCGACGTTCTTGTAAATTCTTCCGTCCGCTGGCCAGTCAACCTTCAAGATGCTTCAACTCGACTGATACAACATACTCAGCTCCTTATACATCCTGCTGTTCTGCCATTCTGCCAATCTCTATTGACCAATAAATGCGCTTTCTCCAGCCGCTCCTGGAACCTCACATCTACTGTACTGCATACTGGGTGAACGCTGTAGTTGTCTCAGGTAGCATTTTGTTGTCTTATGTCGGTGTGCCTAACGGAAGATCTGAAATTAACATGGTTGATTTATTCAATGGTTTGTCACGTGGTATGAATCCAAAAGCAAAAGCATAGGCACAGATTTACTTTCATCAAGCTATGGTATTTTGCTCAAGCTTGATGTGTGGCTCAGATTTCCATTTATCTGAGTAAATTCCCGCTCACAGCAATTGAACAGAGGCTCAGTTCGCATCTAAGCCAAACTCAAAAACATGAAAAACTACATGTGTTTATGGATCAAAAGTTCGCTTCCTTTTTCTGGACAAGCATGCATGCTATGCTGCTACGTATGGTTGTGTCTTTTTGTATGAATAGGTCGGTGGTCGGTGCGGTTCTTTTCAAGTCACTGAGTCACTGACTAACCTACAACACACAACCAGCAAACGGAGGGATAGCATTTAAGCAGACCAAGATATGAAAGTACAGTACCTATTGGCCAAACAAACAGGTAAGAAGGCAATTGATTGTGATTATGATAGAACCACATCACTGGACTGCAGGCTTCTCTGAGACGGCCTCTTGGTCCACCACAGGTGTTGAGAAACCTTTGGTGAAGCCCTGGCAGACTCTGTGGCTTTCTGATGCTGGCAGACAATTTCTGTATAACTGTTGACCGCAGCTTGTTCAGATACAAGCAAGTTTAGGTGTCACTCTTTTGTATTAATTTAGGTGTTGACCGCAGCACAACGACTCAAAATGTCCACAGAATCCATTCGCATTCGACGAGCGGTCCTTGAAACCCAGCTTCAGGCGATCTAGCGGCCTCGGAGCTTCCAATGAAGTCAAAAGATCGCTCTACCGGTATCTTCTGAGAGATGCTTGGCCGATTCTGTGACGGGGAATTCCATGGGTTGAAGATTAAGCAAGTGAGCGGGGGTCCATGTCCAGGACATTTGACCCTTCAACAGTAAATCAATGCAGACTTGGTTTCAGGGTCCTATGAAGCCCCTGATTTCCAGCGGAGTATTTGTAGGTGGACATGTTTATCATCTCATCGGCATCAAAAGCTCTTGCTTTTATCAACTTGATCCTCCCATAGTCTCCGTTGCACCAAATGCATCTCAGTAGGACATCTATTGCTCATCATATCCAAAACGACGCCTGAATTGAAGAAAAGCCTTTATCTAGAAACAAAATGAGGAGCAAGCGCACTGTACTTTCCACCCAATTCCTGCCCTCAGTCAAGGCCATCGCCCAGCATTCTCCGCCTCTGTAGGCAGTATCTAAAAGCAAACCAAAATGACTATCTTTTTGCACGTCGTCAAAGTTGTGCTAGATTCCAATAAAACACCTGTGGAACCTAGCAACTCCGCACTTGACTCGGATGTTCTTGTTTCTGGGCGTTCACCTAGTCAGCTATTGACATACTACATGCCAAAGCAGGCCTGGCTGCTTGGTGTCTGGCTGGCCATTGCCAGCCCTGATTGAATTTTGTTTGCAAGTGGACTCTCAGGACCACCGTGGAAACATGGTACAGTATCTTAAACTATATCTATGAGTTCAAAGGTTCAAAGTGACAAACAAGCATCTGCTTGGAAGAGCCGCGGGTGCAGTATCGTGTGGATGTGTGTGAAGAAAATGTTTGATCCTTTCCATTGCATCGGATTGAAAAGTGAGAGAAAAGCGTTGCCATCAATGATCAAGGTTTGATTGCATGCCAATGGCATTGCTACAAGCTCCTGAAGAGCACAACTCTCACTAGTTGATCAATCTTGCAACAGCTCGCATCCGCTCGTAGTAGACTTTTTAGCAATATTCGCATTGTAACTTGTGACCTCTTGGTCCAAGCAGCGCCTACATGAACATGTCTGCTAGGGCACAACTTATGAACCCAAAATGTGAAAACGTGCGGTATTGGAACAATTCATGGGTTGAGGTTGTTCTACCAATTTGAGCGTGTTTTACAGTACCCAAAATGTTTGAGCTATTGACCACACCTGTCATTGCCTATCAAGCTTGTTCACAAAGCCTTGCAGTGCACCTTGTTTTCTAGATGTTTGATGAAGGAGACACCTGCGGCCCGGGGCGTCACTTGTCACCACCGCCGCCACCACTGCCCTGAAGGCTACAACGAAATGTCGCAAGGCATCACACGCTCTTGGAGCCTTGGTTTACTAGCCTTGGTTCGCTCCCAACTTGGCTCCCAGCCTTCCCTCTTCTCTTTCTCTTAGAGGTCGACCTAAAGCTTGCACGGCCACACTAAGGCTTTACCCTCATTCCTCCTGAGCGCAAGCGCTCAAATGTGTTGCAAGACGTTCACAACATGTCATGTTTCAATTGCGCTAAGGGGGCAAATAGAAGTGTATTGCCACTGCTTGCTGCCGAATGTTGTCCCTTCCACACATGTCCCAAAGTCATCCAAGGTGCGAAGTGCATCAAACTAGCATGCCAAGACACCCCGTGGGCTTGTCGCCAGTGCTGAAGCTCTTTGGCAGCTTAAAACCCTAAGCAACACAAGTTCTAGTTGTGTCCAATCTGCTTAGAAAAGGTACATTAGAACCTGCATCATACACACTCAAACAAACGTGGCCTAGTCCAGGAGTTACGCGGGTCTTGGGAGGGAGGGAGGGAGGGAGGGAAGGGAGGGGACAGACGGCCAGCCAGCCAGAAAGACACAAAAACAAACAGAAATACATATTAAGATGTCCCTGGCCTGTAGGATAGAGACAGCCGCCGTTAACTCCTTGAGAAGAGTTTGACCACTGGATGAATCTCCCACAGAATCTCCGTGAACCGATGCAGCTGTTTGCGAAAAAGAGCTGACGAGTGGAAAATAAGATTCAAAAAAGGCAGGCTGCTGGCATATATATAAAAAGCAAAACTTGGAGATGCAAAATATACCTCAGCCAAAAGAGCTCCTGCATCTGCTCGATCTCTTTTGCCATCCGAGCATTCTCGGTTTCAAGTCTAGTAATGTCCTGCAAGTGTCTTTCAACTCAAAGTACTACCAAATTAAAACAATCATCAATTGAGTTGCAGTCAGTGCTCTGCTAGGGCCATTAGCTCAACGATCCAAATGGGCGTCGTTGAGATCCACAAGGTAGGTGTTCCACTCTCACACAGCCTACTCTATTTTCATCACAACCCATGCTTGCTGTAACTTTGTCCCGGAAGCAACACGGCCATGGAAAGGTGAATTCTTTGGGATGGAATTCGGCAACAAGTGAAAAGCCATCAACAAGTCCCCCTCATTCACCCTTAAGACGAGGGTGCAGGAATTCGGATGATGTAGGCAATGTAGGCCATGTAGGCAAGCACTCACAAAACGAAGCTCCTTTGACGCGGTTGCGTTCTTGTCCTGCAAATCCCGTGGCCAAACTTTACTGTGATGGTCTCTACAATTCACTCATGAGCGGGAAGTGAGTTGGGTGGGCCAAGAGCCTTCAACCTGATGTTAGCTGCCTGAGCACTCTCATCGAGAAGTTGTTCCTGAAAATCCAATACATTAGGACTGCGTGTGATATCGACTCCATATTTCAATGCCTTTGAGAGGCTAACTGTTAGCCACTTGGGAGCCAAACAATGCACTCGGGTCTCTCTTGTCCACACCAAGCGAGACCGTGGCACCTCCCCGGGTGGCGCCTTCACCACCTAGAACTCGATTCGGTTTCAAGTGACGTTTTCCTCTGTCCAAATAATGCTCTGAAATGCTGCTCTGATGTGCTTGTGACACCACGCATCTGCTGAAAACAGACCTCGTGTAGCCAATCCAGAAGCAGCTTGGTTTGCTTCTGGCTGAAGAAATGCTGATTTTGCCTCAGAGTCATGTCCAAGATCGCAAACAGCCAAGCCAAAGAATTCAAGAGGACCATTTGAGCATGCTTCGCAAAGGTCTGGACATTGTAGCAAGAAGCGCAACATAGTCATAGTAAAAGTTGGGATCTTTGTCGCACCTGAGTTGTTCTCGAGCTCACTGAACCTGTTTTCGCTATGTCTGCAATGAAAGAGGGGACCATCTCTTGCAAAGGTTCTTGGCACCCATGCTTTCCGGCAGAGTACGCCTTCTTGATCTTTTGCACTGCCTCTTTCTCGGGCGTCAGTGACACATGTTGAGAGGCGACTCCGCCTCATCTCCCATTTCTACCAGCCTTGAAGAGCAGGCCCGTTGTATTCTCATCCAACGTGTCCTTGTGTTGGGAGTTGCAGAAAACATCTCTCAAGGTTTCGAAGCTTGCACAGCATCAAAGAAGCTGAAGGTATGTTTTTTGTCCTCTTCTGGTAGGTTGAAGATGGCCTCATTCAACCTCTAACAGCAACTCATTTCGGTGGCCTTTGCTGTTTAACTCCCTATTACCCTAGAGTTTCTCGTGACCAGACTCACCAAAAGCGGACAAAAGCGCAGGCCTGTAGATGTCCTCAGCCGTGTAGCTCCTGAAAAAAAAATGATTTCGCAGGCCCATTTCAAGACTCAGTTGGAAATAACGGTCTGTTGGGAGGACTTTTCGACTTGTGAGATGATCATCTACCAGCAATTCAGCATGAGCATCTCCCAGTCATCCCAGTCCCATTCTCTGAGCCAATGGAATCGAGCACGGAGTTCAGGTACATGGCTCTGATGGCTCCAGGCTGGCGCCAGCCTTGCGCCACCGGCGCACACCTGTCCAGCGGAAATCAAGACACCACACAATCACTGCATGTCGCTGTGTTTCACCTGTCCTCCTGTCAATGAAATATGGTGTGTGTAAATATGTCTGTTGGATTTCTCTACGACAGTGAGGCACTCAGCTCTCAAAGAAGGATAGGAACATCAAGTTAACTTCTCCCGCTCTTCATGCTGCCTGCCTCGGCTCGAACCCCCAGAGCCCAGTGGCTTTGGACCAAAGATAGCGTTCACAAGTGCCGACAAACATCTGAGAGGATGGATGAAAAAACTCTCAGCTGGCATCCCCAATTCCCAATCTCTCAGCTACCTCTTTTCCCCCATTGGCACCTGCGGTGTAGAGGGTGAACCCCGTACATTGCGAGTCAGTCTGACTCACAGAACAGCCCGAATAGGCTAGAGTGATGTGGCATCGGAAAACATCTCTGCAGCCTACAACAGAATGACTTCTTCAAGCTTCCGGACAAGCTCTGCCCGAATTGGTCTCGGACCTTGAACTCAACCCATGGAGAGCCCGTTCTGAGATCCAACTGAAGCATCAAGGTCGTAGAGACACCTTGCAACAGCTTTAAGGAGAACAGCTCATACCACCAAGATCACGTGGGGGCGAGAGACCTCAGGCCAGGCTGAGGAACCCAAACACATCCATTTTCCCACCCAAACACTGAAAGCTCCATCAAGCAAGTTTGCTTCTCTTTGTCTCCAAGTCTCTCTCCCTCTCACTCTCTCTCCCAAATTTACAACCAAAAGTGTGTGTGTGTGTAGAGATAACGTACCCGGTGTACATGCAAATATACATATAAATACAACAACTCCGAGGACAAAAAGAACGTTGCCACATGTGAGCTCATTCTGACTGGCGCTGCCATTCCATTTTAACGACCACCGCTCACATTTCAAGCGCTACTATTTTCTGCAGTTCGGCCATCCAAAAAAATCGATGCAGCTTCAGTTAAAAAAATATAAATAAAAGATCGAAAAACACAACCTTCCGTTTCATCTACTCTTCCAGCGACCTGGTTGTCTAGACTCTTGAACTTGGAAATACTTGGAAAAACTGTGAAAATAAAACCTCAAATCCCTGCTCTGCTTGGACTCCATGCAAGGGGAGCGCTCCAATGCTTCTCGTGCGCGCCTCACATCTGCGGACTCGTGACTTGGTCACCAAGTGACACTTGGACATACGGCCTCCAACCTCCAACCTACTAGCGATGGCCTCACATGAGATGACAAAGGATGGCCTTGTTGAAGGGGCTCTCGCCCATTTTTCTTCGAGGCACGGCACATGAAGTGAGTGTTTTGACACACAATGCACAGTTCTTGTTGAACAGCGCAGCAGCTCGTAAACGCGCACACCATGAACAGGGTGCGCTGTTCGGGACCTATTGATTCTTTGGAGAACTATGGCAAGAAAAGCAATTGGTATCTTGAATCTTGATCACTTGAATCATGGTTCTCCTGACTGCTCGACAGCCAAATTGACTGAATTGTGAAGGTGGCCCATCCGCTCACCATTGGATTTATCCCAAGCTGAACCACTTGTGGACCTCTTCGCAGTCCGGTCTGTTCCGGATGATCTGCGCTCGAGCAGGACGTTTTGAACGTGTCTGCTTCAAGAGCACACCGCTCATGTTGGAATGGATCAGCGCTCTCAGCACTCAGCTTGGCTTGCCAAATTAGCGCCCAGCGCTCCTAGCCTTTTCAATGTTTGCTTTGGAGGTTTGGAACAGCGTCACATTCAACTTCAACTGTGCAGTCTTGGAGTTTTGTCTCCAAGTAACTGGAAGCTAGCTGCGTTTGACCTCGCACACCCAGACCCTTTGACACAAGTTTATACGTACTATTATGTACTTGTACGGAGGAGAGAGGTTTGTGCTACA